AGTAATATCTGACAATGAGAACGCATCCGGCCAGCGGATGAACCTATCGACACATATCAGTAGGTAGCATAACCATCGGAGGGTGGAAGTCGGCCAATAATATCTAGATAGACATGGGAAAACCGTAAATCTGGTTTGGAGAAAGTTCCAAGTGGTGTAACATTGGCATTGAGTGCAAGACCGTGTTCACTGTCAAACATCACGGTTAATGTCTGACCATACAAGCCTAGAAGATTTCAGTTTATCAGTAGCACGTATACCCGGATGCGAAAGACCAAATTATTAAAAACATGCTTACTCAGAGGTGAAGGAACAATGGGTCTCGGAGTCCCTGTGGAGATGTCGCACAGGAATGTCCCTTCACTTTTCAGAACTGGTGCGCGCTGTGTCTTCAGGGAGGTTAAGTGCTGAAGTTTCCCCACCTCCTCGTCCGAACTCTGGATTTCAACAATCTTCTGTAGGTCGATCATCTGAGGTGAAGTAGTGGTGCAAACGCGAGACAGTGAGTCTGCTACGGGGTAGTCCATATCAGAAATGTGACGGATGTCTGACGTCAGTTGTGAAATGTAGTCTACATGCCAAAATCCACGCGGTGAATATCTATCTGTGATGGTATGTAAAGCGTAAGTCAAAGCTGTGTAGTTGGCAAATATGACAAAATTATGACCTTCCACAAAATGAAGAAAATGTTTAAACGATGCATATACAGCGAGTAATTCCCGACCAAAGGTTCTGTAGTACATTTCGCATACAGATAGCTACCGGGAGAAGAATGCAAGTGGAATAAAAATGTTATCCAAAAGTTGTTGCAAAACACCTCCAATGGTGGTGTTAAAGGCGTCATCCACAACGCTAAGAAGAAGGCTTACGTACCGGTAAACCAACATCGAGGCATCTGCTATTGGGTTTTCGATCTTCCGGAATCCTTCTAATGCCTCAGGAATCATGCTGAAAGTTGTACACTTATCTTTCAAAGGGTTGATTAAAGCAGTTAAAATGCGCGTACAATGGGGTGTAAAACGACGATAATAGTTCACCATCGCCAGGAATGTATATACAGTGCTTCAAGTGATGTTGGAAAGGGAAAAACTTGAATCGACTGTACCTTTTCGGGTAGTAAACAAATGCCACGTTCGTCTATTACATCTCAAAAAATTCAGTGAGCGAATGCCAATCTAGCACTTGGCTAGAGTGACTGCCATTGAATGCTCCGGTAGTTTGGCGAAAACCTGTTTTAAATGGCTACAATGAGTATCTTCGTCCGGACTAGCTATCAGGATGTCGTCCAGATAAGCGTAGGCAAAGACTAGTCCACGCAAGACATCATGAATGAAGCGTTGGAAAGTTTGTACGCTGTTGAAGAGACCGAAAGGCACACGAAAAAACCCAAAGAGACCAATATGTCTAATGACTGCTGCCTTGGAGACGTCATCAGGATGAACTGGGATCTGATGATAGGCGCACGTGAGGCCAAGCTTACTGAAGACAAATGATCCTTTCATAGGTTTAGCCAGATCATTGTATGTGAGGGACTGGGTAACGATCTGGGATCGTTTTAGTGTTGGTCCTTCAGTGGTCACAATAATGCCTGCAGTCCATGCCACTGTTTTTCGGTATGACGTTCAAGGGTGAAGACCATGGTCTGTTAGATGGTCTGATTATTCCCATTTCAAGCATATGTTCAAACTTGACCTCGGCGGCACACAGTTCCTCCTGGGATAACCACCGTGGTTTAACAAACACTGGTGGACCAGTCGTCGTCATATGACGAGAAACGTTGAAAGTCACACAACGTACGCCACGACTTGGCTTGAAGGTCTCCGGGAATGATTGAACAATAGACGCGCAGGAACTGGAATTGTCCGTCGTGGAGTACACTGGGCTGAGATAAGGTATCTGTGTGACAATACCGGAGACATAGTCTTGTGGTAGAATCAGTCAGCTGGTACGCTGTAAGAGATCCATACCAATAATCCCGGTGGTGACATCAGCCACAATTAAAACCCAGTGGGAAGAACGACGCAGTCCAAGGTTGAGGCTGAGGAATTTCCAACCGTAAGATTTGACAGACGGACCATTGGCGACATAAAGTTGTCAAGGTGTTGGTCACAGAGGCTCTTCACTCGTAATTGTGACAAGGCTAGCTTCTGCCCTAGTGTCAACTAGGAAGTGTATCCCAGAATGTCGATCTGTGTGTGACATATGTGAGACAACATGGAAGTGGTTCTCCATAGACGTTAGCCACCGTCTCATGCTGGCTCACGCATTTCCCACCTGTTTATCCTCGAATGTGCAAGGTTGAGTGCACCATTTGGCGTTGACACCATAACGTCTGTGACACCAACACAACCCGGACTGGGATTTTTGTGATTTGGAACTCGTGTTACCAGTATGGGAACCAGGTCTTCTGCGCGAGTGAGACGTGCAACTGTGGGAAAAATTACTAGACCGCATTTCTTTTCTGATACTGCACAACTTCTCTTAAAGTTAAGCGATGTGAGCCACAGCGTCGAAACTCGATGGCTCACGTGTGGAAGGAGGGTAGGGGTCTTTGTGTGAGCCCCTAGATTTTCAGCAAGGCTGTTAACCTAAAGTACCTACAGTAACAGTTACTACAAATCTACTTAGGCTATCTGTCAACAAAAGCATTTCAACTCGAATTAAGGAATAACGACTATCGAAACAGAAATAAATGGAACCATTCATTCTATTTCACTGGTTTCTGACAAACTGCTTAGAACCTAAAACGCTTAAATATCATATAACAAAAGAACTTATACATACATTTCGCAATTAAACAAAGTTAGTTAACAGGAATCTACTTGGTAACACATAGATTGCAAATATCTACAAAAAGTTAACCGGACATGCTGACAAGTTTCAACTTTGCATCTGAGTCAACAGATAGTTCAAGAATGATAATAGGGATGTTAGCAAAGTGCTCTGATTTTTAGAACAAAAAGTAAAAACTATTTCACAATCTTCTAGGGAATTTGTAACGATGAAAACAAATTTATTAAATATTTTCTCTGAAACTGCTTATAATGAAAATTTGTCTCTAAACTGAAACTAGGACCTGAAGGATCGCTGAATAAATAAGTTGTACATCATCCGCTTGCTTAAGCCATGAATTTAAACTACTAGATCATAATCATCACTCAGAATTTCATTTTCCATAGATAACAAACAGTAAGGTGAAAAGAATCTAAAAAAATGCCAGATGTTATATACTAGATGATAATGTGGATTTATTTCCATTTGTTTTTTTATAAATTAATAATTAGTTGTTATTAGTACAATTTATGCAGTTTATACTTTACATACGGAAATCTTTACAAAATTAGTTGTAACAATGATTTCCTCATAACTTCTGTTGTCTCAAAACCGTTTCATCAACTTTAACAACCAACACTTTCCCATCTAACGTGACTTCTAATAACGTAGCATAAATAACATATTTATGGACAAGGCCAGTATGACTGCATTGCAGGCACCTTAGTGCTGCACTACTAGCAACTGGCATTCCAGTTATCCAGTAGGCAATATTTGTCTCAGTGTCAAAGTGGAAGCAGAAAAGAAGGATTCATTACGAACAGAATTCGCAATGCAACATAAAAGATATCTCAGAGAGAATTAGTCTCCTAAAAAAGTGTTCAAGGAGCGATGGCACAAGGCTTCTACACTGACAGTGTGTAGTATTTTGCAAGTATTTACTAAGAGATTTACCACTTTGTTGTCATCTCAGCAATTCATCATCCTAGAAACAGTTAATGCAATTCTTTTATCTACTTTAAAGAATTATTACCCACCAAGAATAAATGCATTTACAACTTCCCAACTGGTCTTTTTAATATCACATGAGAGTGCCTCAAGAATTCCATAGTCTTATCCAATGATCTATCAACAAGTTCATCCTATGTAGCCTTAGACTATTTATTAATTTTTAACAAAAATTTAAGCGATAATATCACAAAAGCTGCGAAATACTTTGCGTTAAAACTGGATTTTTTACTTAACAAAATGAAATTACATAAAATCCTTTTTATTGAAAGCTTATATGTCAAATATGATTGAAAATCACCCCATTATTTTAGTCAAATATCTTAAAGCTTCAGCGCACACGATAAACTTTAAAAACCAGTATTCTATTATCAGAAGCTATATAGACCACTTAGAATATTCCAAGTTCTCATTGTATAGTGAAACAAATATCCTAATTAAGCCCAAATTTCGTTAAATATGACTTGAAATCTCATGTACTTCCGCATTTTTTGAAAAGATAAGGAATTAGGGTGACACTGAGAAAATATGTTATAGTTTTAAAAATTTTTTATACACTGCTAACAGCAATAATAATAGTAATAATAATGGATACAAAAGACATCATACATTGTTCACTTTAACTTTCAGATGAAGTTTATTTGGATTTGGCTTCAAAAATCGGAAATTTCCCGTGTATGTAGCAAATATATAAGTGTGCACAAAGTGATTGTACTACAGCTTTGAAGAATTTGGAAATCATTTACAGCAAAACTGAAACACTAAATAGGTATTAGTATAATAAAACCGTACTTCTTTCAGATCACTTATGAACTACATATTTAATAAAAAATAGACAAATGAATAAATTACGAAGTTTTCTTTTGCTTCACCATTTATGTTTTTAGTTGCTTTTGATTCTGATAATTATTGGGATCAGTTTGAAGTAAAATAAAGAAGATTTGAACAGTGAGAATCAGTAGGTGGGTAACAATGAATATTATGTATTAAACAAGATATGACAAAAGAGAAAAAAACTTAGGAAAGAGAAATGTTTAGTAAAATAAAAAGCTAGTGTTTTCATTGACAAAAAACGATTAGAGGTTTGTTTTTAAAAATCAACCTTGATTGATGTATAGGTGTATGTATTTAGGTTTTATTGTACATTTCTGCTTCCCATCACCATTATTATAATTATTGATAGTAATATTTATTGGTGAGGAAAAAGCTAATAATAGTATCTATTCTGTGCCAGTAGCCAAATGCCAATTCACTGGTGATACAATGATATCAACTTCAATAAGGATAGCTGTTGTAACAAATACTAAGTAGATAATAATCAAAAATATACCATAACAACGGCGAAATTTAAATCTTCCTATTAATGCTGTAAGAATATTCAGCGTGAGTACTGCTAACAGACAGGAGAATAAAAGAGCTTGAGTTAGTGTAAATGATAGCTAATTGCAGATGTTTGTTGTTGTCATTGTAGTTGATTTGGATTTTCGCATGGCACAAAAGAAAAAAAAACGGATTATGATAAAACTACTTATTGATACTCATTACCGTTTGTCTAAATAATTGAATAATGAGAAAAATCAAAATATAAAATAAACAAGTCATTGTGACAATACTTTTTGTTTATCTCGAATGAAATGTACTTGAACGAATTCAGTTCAGACAGTTGAAATGATTAAATAATTGTGCTTCTGGTCAGCTACTTGTGTGAAAACGGTTATATGTAGACCAAGATCAAATATTTTTGAAATTCACAGTCTTGTGAAGTTGTAATGACACAGAAACTATGAGTGAAGGGCACATTCATGTCTTGAATACTAACAATACCTAGCACGACAAGTAATGGTGTTTATTAGCTAATAAGCTGATATTTTTCAGATATAAAATTGCTCAAAATATACTTGTAACGAACAAAACAAGTTAGAAACTAGTCATAAACTGTTAAACTTATTTCAGTATTTTTACTTCTTTATCTCTAAGGTCAACAGAGAAAACAATAAAATGCAAACATCATTAATTTTGCTAAAATAATAATACCTAACAGTAACTTGAAAAAGCTGGATATTACTGTGTTGTTTCATCTGAATGGTTTGGATACTGAGAGAAGTATCAGTTCTGAATATAGTGTGGTTGATTCAGGTAGAGGTCATTTTGAGTGTATCTAAATTATGACAAATTAGAACAAACAACTATCACTGACACTTTCATGAAAGAGTCCATTTTTATGTGTTAATAGATCTTAAGGTATTCATTATGTTTAATTCGTTTTCAACAGTTTAAAACACCATGAAAAATCTTTAGATGAAGACCGATGGACCCTATAATGACTTAACAAACGTAAGTAAATCCAGTGGTACATGTATTCAGGTACTTAGAGTATACTGTCTGCGCACTAAAAGTCTATCAACACTTTTCAGTTAGAAGATTAATCCCTTAAAAACCGTAGGCAAGCGGAGTTATTTTCATTATCTATATATCTACGATAAAGTTGAGCCAGGTGGATAATGGTGAACGTCTTTGATGATCACCACCCGATAACTGTCATTATTTCGGAAGGTATCCTCTCAGAAGTCCTCATACCATTAAGTTTGAATAGAAAACTTCTAAAAGCAGTGTGTCCACTTTACTTATGAGTAAGACTTTGCTATGAGATCATCCAAACAGAAGATTTCATTTCGATACTCAGGTTTAAAAATGATGGCCTAAAATAATGGTAACCAACTCCATATTTCAAAATCTAGCTCAAAGCCAATACCTGGTCGACAGACATTTGACTTGACCGGAAGTTGCACAGGTTTCTCGAGTTTGCGGACAAACAAGCTCAAGCTAAGATTTAAGTCAATACAAATTCCCGAAGATTATTTTAGTTTGGTTGTTTACTTTGTGGTCATTATGCAAGAAATTCTCTTCACACCTCCGAAATGGAATGACCAGTTGCCAGGATTGTATGTAAAGAGTCTTCCAGATAGTGACTCAGACAGTTTGACCAGCAAATTCTGACCACTATCATTAAGTAATTCTAAGGACAAATTATTATTGATGCACTGCTATTAGTTCACCTTCAAACTAAAGGAAAACCCATCCTGAATTTTGATCGCCTTGATCTGGCCAGCAAGCACTGCTAAGTGGCATAAAATGTCTAAGACTGGCCATGCCAGTCAGTTCTAAGGACAGCAGAGCTTGATAGTTTCGATGTTTAAGATTCCATGGGAAATCGTGGTGACGTTCAGAAAAATAGGTCCTACCCCTTATTTCCACCTTGGACTGCATATTTTATCACACACTGGAATACATCCTGGGGAGAGAACCTTGTTACTTCAGTTGTTGGTTAAAATCTCTAAAATGTTCACTCACATTTGCATATCCAACACCAGCTCTTCCGATTTTGATAGTGTACGAAAGACCAGCACCAAGAAGTAAGTTAAATAGAGGTGAACCAAGACAAGCGGCATACGCGATTCTTGGATAACCATTTCGAGCCAACAAACAATTAGCCATTATGTCTGTTTCATTATAGTGGATATAATAACAAAAATACATTGGCAAAATTACAATATGGAAAATAAGTCACATCACTGATAACCCAACAGCGTTGGACAGACTAAGGATCGACCATTGGGAACCTTTGAACTTTTTCTGTCTTAGTCATTACTACTTTTACACCTCATTCAGTTGGATGGTATTTTAAACTTGGCAAACTTAGATGCAGCTTTCGACTCAGACTTATCAGAGAACTTGACGTCTTGCTAAAGGTTTGTTTCAGTATCTTCAACTTTTTATTCTGTCAGTCATATGGAACGTCTAAACCTGAACCCCGAGATCATAAGATGTAAATTCATAAATACACACTTCTAAGCTGAATAACTGCCCATTAGTCACTCAAGATCATGGTGAATATAGTCGCTAATGAGGCTATTTAAGCTTTCATTGCCAAACCTTCAACTAAGAAAAAGCATTTTTCCTAACAACTGAAAACAAAAGCAATTATAAGTAGCCTCTTAAATTCCTTGTCTCTCGTGTGCCAAGTTCATAGGAAAAATTAGTTGTTCTCAGAGAGGTAACAAACAAACTAACATTCCATACATTGTAGAGAAACTACTGATACTTTTTTATAACCATTGCATCTTTTTATTCGAATATTCATCTGAATCAATGTATGACGCAACTTTGAAAAAAATTACATTACTTCAACGGCAAAATAAAAAGGATGCAAATAAGTGGCATAATACTGAACTATTAACCACGATTGTAATTGGATCACAATATTTCTTCCCACATTAGAACTTGCTGCGTTCAAAAAGTAACGCTTAATATTTATATCAAATTTTCACTGCCATAAAGTTCATGACTGTTGAGGATGTTAGTGTGTAGCAACATTTGAAGACAGTTTACGCTAAATAAAGTTATTTGCTGACTAATGAAAACCCTGATGGAATGTTATAATAACGCTTCATTTTGTTGTAGAATTCTCGACTCTTCGAGAATTCATCTCTGATTCCTAATGAGTGACTCAAACACTGTTGCAAAACAATTATCCATTAAAATTTATTAACCAACACAAAGTAGCCAGAGTGCCGAAAACTGCTCTTCCGTTTGCCCCGAAGGTAGAAGTCCTCATCAGTCTTCCGTAAACAGGTGATTCTCATAGTCCAGTCTCTAAGCAGTGACATAACGCTGTTATTAGAAGGACTTACTATCCAGCTAGATTCCGATTAATAGAAACCACCAAGCTTGTATACCCTCCCAAACGCTTATAGCATGTGAACGACAATATCACATCCCGCTGCTTCTACCAATTTATATGTACGTGTGTTGACACATACATAGGGAGAACTGGTAGTTTCACGCAAGTAAGACCCTCTGAGTACACTTAAAAGTGACTTCATAATCAAAGCAAATTACCTGAACCTATAAACGTCAGCTGCAAAAGTCCAAGTTTTTCGATAGCGAAGCATATCGTTGAGATAGGTCATAGGATTGACGTTGCTACTTCGTTTAGACCTATATGCAAAACACTTTGGTGACGAATCCTTAAATTTGTCGGGACCTTAGCTTTTAGGAAGTTTCAACCACTTTTGTGATTTCAAAAATCAATTTACTATCACATTAAATCCCCCCTGGTGAACTCAACTTTGAAACTAATTTCAATTTCTTATCATTTTTGTTCTACTGATTTCCATTGTTGTTTGACATTTAATTCGGCCTTTCTACTTGTCGTCTTTTCATTTTCTAACCCCTTATCTTTCTAATTGTTGGTATAAATACCTACGACAAGTACGTGTATGATCAGATTAATCAAAAAGTATTGCACAAATACATTACACAGTTCACACAATTTACACCTTATTTTTTTTGCCGAAGTTTATAAATTGAACTAGTTGCTTTAAAAATTCACAAAGGCAAAGCACTATAATAATACTTACCTCCAATCGAACTCGCTAATGCCATAACACTAAGACCCAAGATAGCTTCACTTATCTCCCAGACAATGCCTAAAGTTTCCAATGAATTAACTAATTCATGAGCTAATGCATATATCCATATAATTGATGTTACGAAACCTAGTGTTGCAAAAAATGGTCTATGATAAAGTTTGGGTGGTTGATTCCATTTCGAAGTGAAAAATACTGTTAGGGCAACGACAAATCCAGTCACTAGGAATGGACAAAATATTGGAACTGGTGTCTGTCCAATTGGTGATAATCCAATACATTTCCCGTTAGCTGCATAAAAGGAACAAACGAAAAATAAATTATTAACCGAACAGTTCAGTATATTCTTATTTATCTAACTTCATATTTCAATTTTCAAACAAAAAAGATAGGTAGGTAGATATAACAAAATACTCAGTGGCTTAAGTTGAAGTATTAATAAAAAAAACCCTTACTTATTAACTGGAATATCAGTTAAATGGGGTGGAAACTTATGGTTTGAATTTGTTTACCTCCAAATTTTCATTCGAACTCCAATGACATTCCGTGAGAAATGTCTTTAAGATAACCTGCAAGAGTATCGAAATAATAATCAAAACCTTTTTTATTCCGTCGTTACTTGTCAATGAAACTTGTTAGTTATTGGTCATGAAATGATAAGCAGAATTAAGTCGTTTGCTAACCCCAACAATCAGAATAATTCACAGTGGGTGAAGTGGCATCTCCTCATGGTACTGGATGACAGCTATAAATTTAACTAGTTTCTGACCCGATAAAACTATTTCAGTAAAATAATCTAATCTATCAAATTCCATGTAATGACTGAGTGGCCAAGTACATAGGTCAAACTAGCTGGTCGGGGTCGGTAAGAATAGCTGAACATAGGAATTTGGCTAAATATAGAATGACAGAACCCAAATCAATAATCTAGAAAACACTAGGCTAATGCGAGGCATGCATTAACACACAACCACACAACAGAGTAGGATAAAACCACTGTACTTAAATCCAATATAATTAGGTGGGGAGAGAGATTGATTACTGAATCTTTGTTCATCGAATCAATACACAACACATGTAATAAAAGTGATGCAACACCTATATCACAGATATGGAAAATTTTACTACCAATGAAAACAAATTATATGAGGTGATAGAACCATAAAAATCAAATGTCGAGAGTAGTATGATTACACTGATATGATTATGAGGTATAATTTATGTTCGAAACGTCATCAAATAGAAAATACTATATCACTGTGTGTTACAAATCAAATAAACAAATCTGTTATAGAATTAAGTTCTACCACAGTGCCGAAGTTTTACACCTATCTTAGTGTTAAATGTCTTAGAATTACTGTTAAAAATTCATTTATGCACTTTGTAGTCAGCACCTGATATACTGAAATACCCAGTGAGCAGCTGCATTTCATGAATACGACTCCAATTTGGCTGCTTTCAAGTTCTTCAGCCGGACATAGGAACTACCGATTTTTGTCATTAGTCACCAGAAAAATATTCTCTTCCAAAGCCTCATTCGTATCCTTTAATCTTAATCCAGTGAATAATAAAGTATGAAACTATGAAGGCTAACTAAAATAGGTAATGACTTACTGACTAGACTCATAAGACTGTTTGCTAAATAAACCCATCGACGATTATATTTCCAGAAAGAATATAAGAGCAGTGATTTTTAACAAGTGAAATCGACTGTCCATACATTGTGTTCGATTTTCCATTCATTTGAATGTTAAAGGTTTTGATGAGACTGTCAAAACCATGTTAGTCACCATCACCATCAATGCATCGTATATATTCCTGTTACTAATTACATTCTAATATCTCTTTTCTTTCCTTTACTTAGTGGAAATGGGATACTGAATAGGATCCTGATACACTGAATTCCATTACTGTAAAACTAGTCGTAAACGTAATTGTGCCGATGACATAAAAAGCATTACCTAACCCATTCACATCAATTAACTCTAAAACTAGCTAGACAAAAAATCAGGCTTCTGGTAAACTCTATAACTTTCCCTAACTACTTTACATTCATAGGCACAGCAGATCATAATTTCCCAGTGATAACCTCTACAAGGTAAAAAGTATCTTTCCCTTTAACCTGTCTGCTTAATTCTCACCTCATATGCTGTCATAATTAGCTGATCCATCCCATCTGAATATTTCAATAAAAAATAATAAGAAGCTGAAGTTGTGTATTCATGTGATGCTTATTTGAACAGGAGGATTCAACTTCTTGAAGTATTATTTTCTATGTGTGATTTATCAGATGACCGTTTTATCTTACTCACTTCTGAGTATCTATATATCAAACTATCACAAAGCAATCATTTTCACACACCGATGTTCCTTAAAGTTTCCAAATAACTTTAATTTCATTCATTTGATTTCCTCACTTAACTTGGATGCTGCAATGGTAACAGTATTCAAACAATACGATGATGTCATTTAACTTTGTAAGAATTTCATCAGCATCAGACATTACGAATACGTGAATAGTTAGTGTATAAATGTAACCAAACATGCTATCTCTTGTGATGTAATTTCACTCACAAAAAAAGCAGAATAAATGACAAGAAAATGAAATTCTGACACAAATAAACTTGCGCTAGACATCAATCTATTGCGTAAGATAAGTGCTCTCGAATGAGTCTCAGATGTTCAAATATTTTTAAAAAAGTTTATGATTTCACATGGAAAGATCTGCACGCCAATGTAGGGGGGGGGGGCAGGATAAGACAGTATAACAATGTTAAGAACTGTAAGGAAATCTTAAAATGATATCAAACCAGAATTTGAAATTGGATTGGGGTAGCAAAACAAAATACCCGGTTAAACGGCTTGAAAGAAGTGGTTAGTTTTCTTAGAGAATGATGCCACTAATTACCAAGATGTTAAAAGATTGACTGGGGTATCGTTCTGAACATGCGAGTTGGATCACATTCTTTTGATGGTTATGGTATCACCAAACTGAAGATTACCTGAAGTTTAATGTCTCTTGAAGACTGTTTTATTTCGTGTTCAACCTGTTGATAATCCAGTATATTTCCTATTTTGTGACTACTACTGTACCTTTTACGCTTTCAATTGCATACTACTTATTGGTATATTTAACTTCATTGTTTCAAACGTACCCCTGAATATAAAGTCCACTATAGTAAATTTTTATTCAACAACATAACATTTCAGCGTATTGGCTTTTTATCATTTACAGACAGTATTTTATCGTCTCTAGTTTACTTTGCTTGTGTCGCATTTTCCCTTCGACCTTTAGTTAAACTGCTTCCGCCGATCACGAGCTTCCTTACGACTTTCACTCTCAACCATGTTTGAATTTCACAGCCTTCAACAACTTATTTTGTATTCTGACTCAATTAATGGACAGTGTAATTCACAGCACAATAAATCCTTAAAAATTTTGAGATGTAATCTACTTATCACTCACCATTCTATATTTTTTATTATCATGCAGCATTCTAAACCAACCCAGTGTTTGAGCTTGGGAATCACGCATAATTCGAAAGTTTGTATTTTGATGAATAAATCTCCTTTGCGGAGTTTAATCTCCCAAATTCTGAGTAAATTCTACAAACTCCGAAACGTGTTTAGTGCTTATTATGTGGTGAATCACTGCAATAACGAACACGAAATTATTACTATTTGTCCCCTGGGGTTCATAGCGGAATATAGGGCTTCAGTAGCACGTCTCCACTCCACTCTCTTCTCTTTACTCTTTTCAACCTGGCTCCACCACTGCCCACAAGCTCTCCTTTCTTTCTCACACCATCTCCTCCATAACACCCTCACCTCGGACGCCCAACTCATCGCCTCCCATCTGGGTTCCACTCAAGGGCCTGGCCTGGCCTGACGCGTGATGTCCCCAGTCGGCCTTCTCAGTCTATGCCCAATCCATCTCCACTTCCTTCCAGTGCATATTCGTTCAGCGATAGCTTCTTGGTTGGTTCGTTGCCAGAGTCCCTCGTTGCCTATTCTTATTATTCTGGCCATCTGAGCTTCAGTAACGAGTGAGCGTAGGCAGTTGTTGATGAATCTCTGTAGTTTGTTGGAAGTCCCTTTCGTACCGCGCCAAGTCTCTGAACCATATAGAAGCAATGACTTGATGTTGGTGTTGAAAGTCCGCATCTCGTTCACGCATTATGGTGACTGCAGAAGATCTCCACACTGGTTTCAGGTTAATGAACGCCTGTCTCGCTGTCTTCCTGATCCTAGCTGGCTTTGAAATCCTCATCTGTGCCGCCACCTGTAGTTGAAACAGTGCTGCCTAGAAGGGTGGGTGAAATAGGCTACTTCCTTTAAGTTTCTCTCCTTAATGGTGATTGGAGCTCGTTGTTGTTGATGGTGGTGTTGATTGGGTATCTTCATCACCTCCGTCTTCTCTACGTTCACTTGAAGTCGCGTCCTCGCTGCTCTGCCTCTTCTGTCAACATGTTAGTTTTCGCCTGTAGATCTTCAAGTTTGTGTGACATTAAACATAAATCATCAGAGAAATGCAAATCTTCTAGGATCTTTTACGCAGTCCAGTGTATCCCCCCACCCCACTCTTCTCGATCCTTACTGTTTGTTGCACTATCCAGTCCACTACAATCAGGAATATCATGGGTGATAGTGACAGCCTTGTATTACTGCTGTCCTCACTTCAAAAGCATCACTGAGCTTTCCATTTTGAATCACTCGGCATGTGGTGTCTTCATATAGCTGTTCAATGAGATTGATAAAGGTTTGCGGTATTCCGTAGTGTGAAAGCAACTGCCTGATAAATTACTTCTCTGTCGACGCCTTGGTCGAAGGCCATTTCAGAGTTGATGAAGTTGAGGTGAAGATTCAGTTGACTGCCATTCTATGCCCCGTTCTATGATGATGCGTAGCGTAGCATCACAATTTGATCCACACATGATTTGTTTTTCCTGAAGCCAGCCAGCCAGCCAGCCGGCCAGTTCCGGTCATAGTTTTGAATCCAAAGCATTTCTTATTCTCTCCAGGTGATGCGACATAATATTTTGCTTGGGGTGGACAGGAGTAGAGCATGATTCCGCACCAGTTCTCGAAGAGACTTAGGTCTCCCTTCTTTGGGAGTTTGACAAGGTAGCCCTTACTCCAATCAATGACCGGGTACCTTTCCTTCATTCCTAAACTTCTGTAATAATGGTGTCAGCATGTTCGCCGCTGATGTCTCTGCATCTGTTTTTAGTGCTTCTGGTGGAATTCCATCTGATCCTGCTGCTTTCCCGAATTTCAGCAACTTTATGGCG